CAAAACCAGAGGGAGTTCTGAAAATTCAGTTGATCTTCTTAGTATTTTATGATCCACATAGTGATGCTTGTTGACTTTTAAGTTTTTCAGTTCTGCCTTGTTGGCATTGCATATCCCATATGAGAACTTGAGTAAAGATCATTTCTACTGAAAGTAAAATTAAAACTGGAAATCTTTCCGTTAGTCTGAGGTTTTATAACAGCTTGTTTGTACAACGTCTAAATTTGGAGACAGATTTGACTTGTACTTTTAAACAACAATAGCCTCAGAACACTGCTAATAAATGCTGGAGAACTTGTCAGTGCTCAAACAAGTTTAAAGACATTTGAATTATTTGCCAGACTCTACACTGATGGAGTTTGGGCTAGAATGTATGTCCTAAATAGCTGATCAATTAGTATTAAATGCATCCTTATTGTATGTAGTCATCCATACTTTTTTAACATTATCATAACCTATTAATCATTTGTTAACCTTTTATAAACCATTTATAAATGTACCCTGAATAAAAAAAGTGTGACCATTCGGTTTTTTTCTCAAGTTTAATATTAAAGGCAAGTCCAAGGTCAAGATGGGCACAGGGAGGCTTTGGGGAGCTGGTGGAGTTTATATTTTGGCCAGTCAGCTGAGGAACCACGTGGAACTAAAATTAGTAAAGTGTGTGCAGTGAAGAAAGTTCACACGGTGTAATTCGCTGTGGGCAGTATTAGCGTTGATTTACTCAATCTGTAAATGGCATGGTCTGTCTAGACCTTTGGAACATTCCTCAGCTCCTTATTTAATGTAGGAGGAATCATTTCTGAAATTAGCATATAAATTGTCTGGAGTCAGCAGCCCTTTAAAACAGTGTTCTACCCTTGTGTCATGGCACAGTAACTGTTTTAACAAAAATAAATGTCCTGGTCGGGCATGTTCTCATGAAGAAGCTCTTGACTTCACATTGCTAAAAAAGTGCATAAAGCTGAGAAAATTCATTAAGTTGAAAATGGGGAAATGGTGAGGATTTGATTTGGGTAAGTGGTATTTATTTAGTCCCGTTAATAAGGGGAAGCATATTATGATAAGGAAACATCTGGCAAGGTCTGTTCATGTAGGTTTATGTAAGTGAAACTGGAGGCTTTTTGGACTTTGGCATAAAATTTTTTCCTTTCCTTGGTCTTCCCACTAACTTTTGTTCAGGCCATGCTGTGTGGGGCATTCATTCCAGGGCCTTCCTGGTACCCAGCACAGGGATGCTGCCGAAACGAGGTGCAGGGAACCCCTTGGAGGCAAAGCCTCCTCCTTGGCTCTCATTCTTTTGTTGGATCCTCTAAAGTCCTGTACTTACTCCTTTCCACTTTAGTTGCCAAGAGTAACATGCAGTAACATGTCCTCTTCTAGGTTATAATTTTCAAGGGAAGATGATATAACGTAATATAATGAGCATTCAGGTGGTGAATTTGTGTAGGAACTGGGATCTTGCTGTTTAAAAAGAGTAGATGTGTAGCCAGAGGTGAAAAATAAATGGCAATACGGTGTGGAAGGTTTATTTGGCATGGATCTGAGATGACCACACTGAGCAGTGAAGCCAGTAAAATCTTTGTACTAGGAAATCATGTGTTCTGAACATGCCATGCACTTTACAGAGGAACTATTCCAGGAATGTTGCTGGAGAGTTTTATATGTTTATTTGGTACTTATTTTTCGTCTCCCTTGCTCCAAAAGCCAGGTGCTTTAATCACAATGAAATCCATTGCCCAGGTCACAGAGAAAAAGAAATGGAAAATAATGTATTGCAGTAACTCCTAAAAATGATCTAAAATAACATTTTTTATATGCAACTGAATAATAATTTTAAGTTGGGGTATTTCCTTACCTCCGCAGGGTTAAATACTGAATTTTTTACTGAAAATGCCTTATTAAAAAGCTTTTCTTCATTCCAGAAAGGTTTGGCTTGTGGCCAGGAAAACCTTCAAGATGCTGGATCTTAAATTTGTCATAGTCCCAGTGTCCATCCTCTGTGTCACCCTAATGTTCTGAAGAAAACGTGTTTCAAAGCAGGGGGTGAGATAAGTTTTTTTCCTAATTAAATAGTGAAGAACCGTTCAAAAAGGAATAATAAAAAAATCCCCACAAAACAACAAAACCCAGCTCCCCAAAAATAAAATAAGTTGCTTACTTGGTGCTAGAGTAGAGTAATTTTGGAAACGCTTTATCCTGTCTTCTGTTCAAGTAGCTTTAAAGTTATTTTACGCGTGGGCAGCCCCAGTGACGTTCTGACAGCGATGTCATGGTTAAGTTTGTTGCAGTATGAGGATCTCAAAAAGGCCGTGCCTTTACCTTTGTTGGCTTTTTTTTTAACTTTAGTTTTATAAAAAAAACTTGTATGGCCAAACATGAGGGTGCTGATAAATGCAGGTTACGTGCGGCAAGCGGGGTTTGTGTTCTGTGCTACTGCTCTGCCTGGCATGGGGAGGCCTCAGCTGGTGCCTGTGGGCCACAAGCTCGATACAAAACAAAAATCACGGTACAAAGTGACAGGCAGATGGCTGGGGTGGAACACAGGAGCCCTGGCTCGTGTTTGTGTGTCTCAGTTGGGGTGAAATGGGTGCACCTCCCGAGCCGGTGATAGCGGCTGTTTCGTGACTGCCAGCTTGGCAGCCGGAATAAACTTCACGTTTATTCCACAGGCTTTGGAGTGTCTGATCCCGAGATAACCCTGCTCTGAAGTGTCAGAATGTACTGGATGAACCAGTGCAGCCCATGGGGAACGTGAGGTGGGTCGTGGTGCTCCAGGACAGACGCGGATTCGGGGGTTGCTGTGCGACACCTCAGCGCCCGCCGCGCCTCTGCTGCGGCTCCCGGAGAGCTGCCCCTGCCAAGTTTGGGATGGCAGTGGTGGTTTTGACAAGTACCTCTGAGGGACAGGACTTGGGATTATTTCATGAAGTTTGTGCCCGAGTCAGCCCCAATCCTGTGACACGAAAACCTGCTGCATTCCCTGCAAAGTGTGTCTGTGGGGCTCAGAGTTACATCCTTGTGGTCTGCATGTCGTAATACCTACATTTTTTGAGTAGTCCCCAGTGGAAAAAGGGCTTTGAATTTTCCTGTCTATACTCCTATGATATTTTGTAGCTTGTGGTGTGGCTCCTGTGCAGGGCTAAGGGTTGGACTCAATGATCCTTGTGGGTCCCTTCCAGCTCAGCATATCTTGTGATTCTGTGAAAGGATGTATGCTTGTTTTGATGTTTTCGTTTAAAAATATTTCTGCTTCAGTAGCACTTCAAAAGTTTGAAGGGTTTCCCCCTCCCTTATTTCTCAATTTAATTGGAATTATGGTGCCTATCAAAAAGTATTACTGCAAGGTGACCTGGAAATAATAATTTCCTTTCATCTATACCAAACATTTGTAGATCATTAAAATGTCACAAATAAAAAAGTCTTAGTCACAAAGCGATGGCTTTATATGAGCACAGTAAAATATGAGATTTCATTATATACAAAAAGGCTATGTTTTGTATTCCTGGTTCACAGAGCAAACCTCCAACACATGTGGAATGCATGGCAGGATGTAGGACCCTCTAAGGGCTGTGTACAGATATGTGAAGGGGAAGAGGAGGGGGAGAGGGGGGTGAAAGAAAAAAAAACCACTGTGGGTCTGAGGAAACGACCCCTTTCAGTAACAAATGGAGCATGTGCTCCGGGTCTCCGGGAGGATTTGTGCAGGGATCTTGCTCTCCATGTGCACACATTCCTCTGAATCAGACAGGTGTTAAAGTGAAATGGTGCCCAGAGGACGCAGCACCCTCCTCTGCTATCAGCAGCCTGACCACATGACGGATCCAAAAGCAGCCAAGCACAACTGCTGAGGGGTTTGCCAAGGGCTTGGATGCCAAATGCTGTGAGAGAGTATCCTTGCCAGCTTGGCACCTTTAGGCCATGTGGCTGCTGCTGGCATGGAGTCGTCATTGTAATGTGCTGGGAAGAATGGAAGCAGAAACTGACTTAATAGTTCCTCGTGAATGAAGCCCTCTTATTGTTGTGAATATAAAATATTAATTACCTTACAAATGTGCTTGAGAGGCTCTGCTTGGCTTTGGCATCTGTCCAGACCTGCAGTGGTGAAATCAGAGGATTTTGCCTCTTGGCAGTCGAATTTATTTATCCCCCCCCCGCCCCTCCCCGGCATCGCACTGGAAATAAGAGGGGAACTATTTGAAAACAATTGACATCTGGAGGAAGATGTTCATTGGCTTCTGGGATTTGGATCAGTCCCTGAGCTGGTGCCTTAGGAGTGGATTTAACCAGTGCTGTAATCTTCTGGCACCTGTTGCACTTTTTGGCAGTGGCACAGGACAGCTTTGATTGCACTGGGACTGGAGTAGTGAACATATGTCTAATGCCCATCCCAGAAAGAATGACTTAGTGCCCTCAATGCCTCTCCTATTGTTTTTTTCCCCCTACTTTCTCTTGTCTTATTCATCAAGCTGCTGTTAGTAGTTATTACATACAGGCAAACGCCCATCAGCATCTTCAAACAAATCAGGGATAAAGCAAGAGGAAAACAGGAGCTGGGGGAGTTCTGCCTTATCAGAACCCAGCTACTTTTTGCATTTGATTTTCAGTTGTTTGTCTGGCCCTGAATCTTTAAGAAGTGTGGTAAATAAAGGACTCCAGGAAAAATGATGCATGTGCCAGTGTCTGAGATGCAATCAGAAGAAGAGTATGTTTTCTAAATACATTAATCAAAATAACCAATTATGTATCTTCAAGAAGGGGATTCAGAGGACCCATTAAAGGAAGTCTCTGCCTACATGTCTCTGCACTGATTGTACATCTGTAAATGGCTGCCATCCAGCAAAGCTCTTAAGCGCATGTTTAACTCTCAGCACAGCCTGGCTACAGCAGTGTTGCTAACTTTGGCATGTGAGCTTTTCTGCTTTTGGGGCATTCACATGCCTAGTGAGAGGCACATGCTCATGTGCCCTTCTGGATAACTGGCTCTTTCTTGTGTCCTACAGGCCCGCGGCCAGGAGTGCCAGCCCGGTTTCCTGCTCCCGTAGAAGGCATGGAAGATGGCAGTAGGGTTGCACATCATCTACAGCTCTGGGGTTTTTATCCTCCTCTTCAACGTCACTGAAATACAGAGGTACTAACTCCTGAGAAACGGTGTGAAGCCTCCCACTGCTGTGTGTAACTTTACCTTTCCTGATGCCTGTGCAGAACTTAGTGCTGTTTGTGCAGAACTTGTGCAAAATTGTGGCAAAGACCGAGACACAGAGGAAAAACATCATGCTTAGATATCAAACACTTGATTAAAATCCATGCATCACAGTTGTAGGTGTTTGTACTGAGGGAAAACCTGGGAACTTGTGTGTGTTAAAATTTATCACTGCGTTTGCTGCCTTGTAAAAAGTCAGTCTTGAGAGCTGGGGTGATGGATTAGGTTTGGAGAGAAAGTCCTCAGGTCCTTATGGTGGTTCTTGGAATTACAACTCGACTCGTTTGTCTAGGAAGCCAACAGAAGATCTTGGGCTTTCCTGTCTACCTACAGATTTCAAGTAAGGTGAACGTTGGTAAAGGCTGATAAAGCTCTTAAATTATAAATGAGAATTTAATTAAATATAATGTAATTGCTCAGATCTCATTCGGTACCTCTGTCAACATACCCAATTTAGGGGAAAAAAAAAAATAAAGGGAAAGGAAAAATTCCATCAGTAACAAACAACTGTACCCATAAAGTCCAATTCTTACAGTAAAGTCCAAGCAAGTGAACTCGGCAAAATATTCCAGTGTGTGCAGTCCAGAGTCCACTAGGATATTTTCCAGACTACCATCTGCATCAGAAATTTGCTGGGCAAAATAACTCTGATTCTCTCCAGTAGCTTCTTGGTATGCCTGAGGTGGGATTCCGAAAGAGGAATAGCTGGCAAGTTGTGTTTTGTTTTTACCTTGGCCAAAGCCTGTTTGAATTACAGGGATCATAGTGCATCTCTGGTCTTTGGAACCTGCACTCATTTATTTTAAGAAAGTTAATTTCTTGGGGATCATAAAAAAGCCAGATGGGGGAAAGCTATCCTGTTGTGGGAAAGTTCTTATCTGCTTCATTGAAATAATTGAAAATGGGTTTCTAAATAGTCTAAAGAAGTTCACTTATGGGCTAAGACCTAATTTTCTTTAAAAAAAAAAAAAAGGAAAAGGCAAGTTTGAGAAATACTTTAAAATATCTTTGTCCAGCTTTTTGCCCCTGGAGGAGGAAGTGGGAAATTTAGAAAGCAGCACATGTGACAGATGCTGCTCAAGATGCTCAACACATTACTTAAAGAAGCTCTGTGACCATCATGTTGTGAGTAATAAAAGAATGTGAATGAGATGGAAGAGGAACAGTCCAGATTTACTGTAACCACATATGTAGCCTCAGCACTCTCACATGATGGTCAACAAATTCCTGCCAGTTCCCGGAGTATTCCTAAACGAATCTGGGCAGTGCAGAGCCACGTTGGACTGGGGAGCCCTCAGGTTACCTCCAAGTGAGCTGGCATGTCTGCAGTCGATTACCACACAGGGATACCAGCAGCAGTGCCAGAAACAGTAAAGCTCTGTTACTGCCATACATAGTTAATTAGCTCGGGTGTCGCAGCGAGCAAACACAGCTATATTGCTCCTGGTTCTGCACTAAGTTAATTGAGGCTGGCTTGGGGATCTTTGCCCCAATGTGCAGTGCAGACATACCCAGGAATGCACTCCTATTGTTGACTGAATACTGTATTTTCACATAAATGTGGCAGGAATATAATTGCAGGGTGGAAAAAGAAGGCCAATATACATTCGCTTCGCTTTAGAAACTAAATTAAACCTTTGACTTAACTCACTTCTATACCAGCTCCCTGCAGGCATTTCTACAGGCTTCATTAGAGCCAACCTAGAGGCCATGGAAAAGGTCTTACAAAAGACTAGCCAGGAAGCCAGTCACAGCCCCAGATCCTGCTGCTACAGAATACAATCTGCCTCTTGGCACCTCGGGCTTGCAGCTGCCAGGCACTCTCCTTATGTGGTCACTGGTGTTGGCTCGGAGGCTGGGGCAGATAGACGAGGAGGGCGAAGGGGGAACACATTCATCACTGCCAGCAGCGAGGGGAGGCAGTGCCAAGTCACTATGTAACCAGGCACATGTGCCAATTTGCTCAGTAATTGGATTGCTATTTGAAAAATTAAAGCGGTGTCTAGAAAATTCTAACCTCTGCATTTACGGGGGATGGAGTTCGCGGCCGAGGGGGCCGAGGAACAGGAAGAGCAGGGGGGGGATCGAGCGGAGGTGTTTAAGGAGAGCAAATGTAGGAAGTAATTCGGTGACTTTCCAGAGTGCTGCAGCAGCCTCAGGAGCAGCCTCTCTGTACTGGGGAGACAAAGAGCGAGACACAGTGCAGTGGAAAGCTGTGACATTATGGACAAGCCATAACCCGTTGCTTACTACGGAAAATTAGCGAGGACTTGTCAGCTGAAAGCGATTTGTACAAAGGAAACATAATTGGAAGGCCAGGCTTGATATACTTCTGTAATTAATTTTTTCCCTAAAAGAACAAAACCTGTTAATGGGCATTATTTTATCTTTTCAGGGTTTTTTCGGAGCCTGTGAATTGTCTCTTCTGTCTAATGTATACATTGCTCTCAAATACATTCGGTGAACAAATCCCATGTGCTAATATTAAGCATAAATGATACTGAATTATGCAGCTACAGAGAGTTTCTGACTCAGAAATATGCTTCTGCCACAAATCATTTCTGCTCCCACTGAAGCCAAATTCAGACTTTGCTTTGACTTCAGTGGGAGCGTAATTACATCCAAAAATATAGTTACCTAAATAGTCCTTCAGGCATTTCATTATTCCTTGCAGTTGAGCTCACTGGCCACCCTTATTCAGCTGAAAACTTTGAGCATATGGAGATGATAGATTATAAATTGTTCCTAAGATAATATTTGTAGTTTAAAGTATAGTCCAGTTGCTAGTAGCTGTATAAAAGTGGTGCCTGTGTTCTTCATCACTGTTAAGCGGAAATTCAAGCTGGAAGCTCTGTCTTTAAAATAATAAAAAGCAAAAATCTATGGACTCATACTGAGGAAGAACTATTTGGAACCTCTGTGAAATGTCTGATTATTTCTCATGCACTCAGTCCTGGTAGAATGAGGTTAACACATGTCCAAGCAAAGGCTAGGGAAATTTTGGGCTGCATTTCTGCCCCTAGATGGAGTATTCTGTACACTGGGTTGGGATTTTTTATATATATTTTGGGAGAATGGAGCTGTGTTAGAGGCCTTGAAATGCCTCTTGTTCTGAATTCCCTTTACAGTGTATCAAGTGCTGCCCACTGGGACTAGACTAACTGGGTCCCAGAGATAGAAGAGAAAAATTAAAATAGGGTTTGCTTGTTCAGTTGATCAGATACTGTCAAGGCCACTGCTCTTTCTTAGTGTCTCCCATTTGTTGGTTAGCGATAGATATGTGTGTTAAAAAGCAAGAAGCCTATACTTAACAAAGTGTCACTAATTACTATGAAACATCTGATATTTGCAGCTTGCAGTGCCGAGTATTTCCATGATTTTCGTGGTATTCCCTTCTCTTAGTGTGCTGGGAATGCCATGGTAACCTTAACCACTGGTAAAACATTTTAATAGTGACCACTGTAATATAGTGGTTGTGTGCAAACAGCACACACCATTGCTTCAGAGGTGTTTGGAACACTTTGTTTTTGTCACAATTGGAGTAAAATGTTGCCAGATTTCAAGAACTGAATCCTAAACTTGCCAAATGGGGAGCTGGAAGTGAGGTCTCCTGTTCTCCAGCTTCTGTCTTTGATCACCTCTGGAGTTTCATTGATACATTCCTACCCAGCACTCACACGCTTAGTGAACCATGGCTCCAGAAAGCAGGCAGTTGCTTGGGAAAAGCACTTGGCTACAGACACTGTGTTTGGAGGGGGTGGGTGGGTGTCAGATTAGAAGCCAGCTTTTGAAAAACCGAGATTGTTTTGTATGTGTGAGAGGGAATTCAGCTGTAGGCTCTTAGCTCAGGTATGTTCTCATGTGGGCTTCTGCTTTGGCCCACTCCAACAGGAGGGACCAGCTGCAAAGTTTGTCCCTGGACTGGGAGCTGAATTCCTGCAGAATCCAGGATTTTAGTTTGGACCTTTTTAGACATGATGTAAATGCCAGCAGCTTCCTAACAACTGTTCTTGAAGCTCAGAGCAGAATGTAGAGCAGACCGTTGTGAGTTAGGGTACTGCACAAGATATCCCTTCTCAGAAGAGAAAGAAAAAGCCCAACAAAACCTAAGCCATCTGACTGGAGTCCTGAGAAATGCTTTCCAGCTTTCAAAGAAAGAAAGGGTCTTAATTCAGATTTGCCGGAATCGTCTAATTAGTCCCTTTAATGCCGTGCACCTTATAGTCTGTGCCACCGGATTCGTCCTATAAATGAGACGATGGGCTAATTCATCCTGGCAGCAGTAAACAGACCTTGTGATTGTCCCCCTCACAAACACCGGCCTGATTTTAGGAAAACGCTTTGACCAAGCCTGTGTCCCTGCTCCCTCCCCCCCCCCCCCCCCCCCCCCACGCCCCCGCCTTTTCTGAGCACTGCCTGTGCTTCTTGCCCTCCTTCTTCCCCACCAACCCAACCCACCCCGTCTCACACACAGTGACATACCTCACACATTTGCCACTGCTAACAACAACCTGTCAACTCTTTCTTTGCACCGTGCTAGGCGCCTTTTGTTTCTGCAGCCCAGCAAGCCTTGCAGCTGTTGTCCGAGGCCTGCTCCGACAGCCTGTGATCAGTCAGCTGCAAAATCCTCCCTGAACAACTCGGTATTCACAGCTCTAATCGGGCCAGCGGACTGTTTCCTCCTCTCTCGCAGTAAATCTTTATCACTTGCGCTCTGCTCGTCAGTTCGTGGCGCCAGCTCTTTGGGCTGCTCTATCCCTTTCCCATACTCTGCTGGGCTGTGTGCTCTGAATGCTAACTCCAACCTTGTTTAGACTCTGTGCTGCCTCAGTGCTGCAGTCCACATGTTGGGAAGGTCGGAATTCCTGCCGCCTCCCCGTCTTTCAGGCTGTGAATGCGCGTGGGGTTTGTATCTCTGCGAAGGTGAAGATATCAAAGGTTCCCTCCCTCCCTCGGCCCGTTTCATACTTTGTCCATATAAGTTAGTTGTGTGATTGTCTTTCTGTTGCCTCCCAGCAGCCTGTCGCGCTTCTGCTTAAGAGCTGTCTTTGGTAAGAAGGTGAGGGTGAGCTGCCCAGCCTGGGGGAGCTGGTGGTGGCAAGGGAAAGCCTGGGGAAACTGGCACAAGCCTAAATTTGATCGCATGCCCAGGGCTATTAACCCTCCTCCTAATGATCCCCCCGTGGATGGAAACACATTTCCCTCCATCCCGTCCCTGATTTGATGCCATCACAGTCTTTTAAAAGGTTTACATCAAAGATGTTGAATTGTGAAGCAGGTTTCTAGAAAAAAAAAGGATCGAAGTTTGCTTCCTTAGTATCCTGGCTGAGCTGGGGAGAGTCCATGGAGAGTTTATGGTGAGGTTTCTGTCAGTGTGGAGTTGCTGAAGATTTACACTGGTGGAGCTGAAGGCACAACTTTATCTGTGCCTGTTGCTGCTTATGATACAGCATGGAACCCCCTCCTACCTCCTTTGGGAAAACATTGAGGGGTTTATTTCCCTGTGTGCTGTGTTTGGGCCTGGGGTTGTAGATGGCAGCATAATGAAAGCGCAGTTAAACAGCATATTTTGCAAAAAGACTCAACCAGATCTTAAGCAAAGCTTGCTGGAGATCACTTTAAAGGAATAAATTATTCAGGACAGCGAGGGTTATTTCAGTTTATGAGGAACCTGGGAAACTTTTGTCTGAACACTGGCATGAAGACCAAAATGTAGTGGGTTTTCATCTTGTCTCTGAAACTGAAAAACCCATTTCTCTTTCTGTATCAGCTTTCCTTCCTCACCTTTAAGTCTTGATTTCAGCTGTTGCAAGTGTGTGTGTGCACATGTATGCAGGGGTGAAGACTAACCAAATACAGAAATTCCTTGAAGGGTACAGTATGAACTGACTTTAAAAATACATTGTTTCTGTTAGTTTTTAAGAGGCATCTGTAAAAAAATGCAGCGTGGACAATCAGGCTTCGTTTCTGCTCAGGCTTTCTATGCCTCAGTTTCTCATCAGTATATCTTTGGTCAAAGATAAGTGTGTGTTTATGGGATTCTTACAATTTTGGCGTTGCATTGGTGGTCAGTTTGAGGAGATGCCCTCCTGCCATGCTCCTTGGTGTGCCCTTCGTAACCAGCTCCCACTTGCTTCCAGGTGGGATGTGTTTTGTCCCTGTGTAAACAGAGCTATAAAATGTATTTTAGGCTTGATTTGGGAAAACAGCTCAGATTTTGCTGGTATTTGCCACAGAAGTGCCTTTCTGTCTCAGTGTGTTCTTCGGTGAACGTGTGTGAACAGGATTTGAATGCTGGCTCTTTTTCTGTCCATAAAGGCGGGAGTGGAAATATGATCTTCAGTAGTATGGAGTGTCCCATAAATAGGCTGATTATACCAGTTCATGGAATAGAATCCTAAAGTAGTTTGGGTTGGAAGGGACCATTTTTTTTTTCTGTCAAATAGTAAGCTACTGGACATGGTTATTTTGTGATAGGGTTGACCTCTGTTTTAGAAAACACTGGTGCTTCACCATGCTCTGGAAGAATGGCATGGGCAATCCACCTGCTGTCCTCTGCACAAAAAGCAGTTGGTTTTGAAGTGTTCCCGAAGGACTTGATGTCCTTTAGGCATCCTTGCAGTTCCTAATTATTCATTTATTTATTTATTTATTTTTAGAAAACTCGTGGTGGCTAGAATGTACCTGTAACCTGATATAGTGGAAGGAAGCTTTAAATTACAAAGGAAGATTCTAAGTCTGAACTGAAAGTGAATGGAACAAGGAGAAGACTTTCTCAAAATAACAACAACAACACTTATTAGTGTTATTAGTGTTATTTAAACTGTCCACGTGCTCTGGTTCTCCTCTTTGTGCCTTGAAGTGAGGGGGTTTTTGAAGGATGCAGCTGGTGCTTACCTTGGTATGGTTCTAATTCAGTGATGCTTGGTGATGGGGGCTTAGGATGGTTAATTAGGAAAATTTCTGGAAGTTATGACATGAAGTTTTTATCTGTTCTTTTCCACAGAGCTTTGTGCCACAGAGGAAAACTCACAGGAGGCAAATATTGCTAATGGGAATGTATTGTTCTTTGAAGAATCCTATCTGAGTTCTTTTGTCTTACAGGGGTAAGTTCAGTCTTTCTTTGTTTTCACCCAGACCACAGTGAAGACTTTGTACTTTTTTCTGTTTAGTGGCTGCTGGAAGAGGGCTCGTTCATGGCTCTGGGATGAAGAGGATGAGCAGAATTTGAGAACAGCTTGTCTGTTCCCATTCCAGATTGAAAGTGGACTTAACTTACTTTTCCTAATGCATCTGAATGCATATGTTGGAGCAGGATATTTTATTGCTCTGCTTTTTTTTTATTTTTAAGGAGCAATGTCAACTTTGTTCCTAGCTCCTCCTACATCTGTCTTCTAAGATAATCTCAGACCCCAACATCTCTCTGATTTATTTTTTTTAAAAGAGTTATGGATAATATGCTTACACAGTAATTCCATTTTAAAATAGTCTTCTAGTCTAGGAATTTTCTTGTCTGATTTGCCTCAGACTTTCCAGAAAAATTCTACCTTGGCTTGAAGTTTGCACCTGTGAAAGTTCAAGGAAATCTGTTTAGCTTTTGCTGTATGAGGAAGGGATTCTGCCAAAATAAAGTTTTTTATGAAAGACTAGTGGAAGTACGGATAGACTAGTCTTGTCATTACTAGGCAATATTAGTGTACAATCGGTCTCATCAAGAAAAAATATGACTAAATGGATTTTATATTCCTTATAAAAATGATTTTTTATTTCTTCTTTGACTACTCATAGTAGAATGCTTACTGCTAACCCATCATGTTTAATTTTGTGAGTCACTTCTTGTGTGCACATTTCCTGTACATCTTGAACAAAACCATGCAAAAGATGAGCAAAGAATTAGTAGAAAATTATAAATGGATCCATGTGACTGCCTTTTCTACAGATATTTTTTTTTCTTCCCTTACTTAAGAAGTTAAGAGGGAATGCAGGGCCATGCAGTGTTTGTTAAAGCTGATGGAATATCTTTCTCCCTCTGGGTATTTCTTTAATCAATGTTTCTTTATACCATTAGGTCATCTCCTCTTTTTTCATGTTTTTTTTTTCTCTTTTTTTTCTGAAGAAGCCTTGTTTTGTACATTTCCGTACATCTTGACGTTTATTCTCAGAATTATGGCCCGATCACTTCCTCTCTTTTCCTCAAAATTTCTCTCGTTTTATCTATTTTAAGTGCCACAGCACAAAGATAACCCCATCATAGTTCTCTCATTTTCCCCAGCAGTTCCCCCCCCCGCCTCCCCCGGGCCTTTCCCTCCCTGCAATGAAAAAATGAAAGGTCTCATGGTCTTACAGATTTTCTTTATGCTTATTTTGGCCTACTTGCAACCCAAATACATCATCACGCTATAAGACGGCTCTCTAAGGCTCTTGGATCAATTAAAGGTAGCCCTATTCATTGCCAGTACAAACCTTTGCCTATTAACTCCTTCAAAGGGCATTTGTCATCTCAAAAAGCTGTGAATGCCGTCTGGGTACATTGATTAAAAAAAGGTATTGTTTTAAGGCTGCTGAATATCTTAATTAGTTGTAATCAGAGGGCAGCTTGTGTCTGTGAAGTGATACAGTTACCTTTCACCCACTAGCTTTATTTTCTGTGGTTTTAAAAGGAAAAAAGAAAAATAAATCTCAAATGTGCCTCAAGAATACTGTTTTTAGGGTACGAGAGGAGCGCACTTGCTGATCAAACTGTAATTTATGACATTATTTTGTAAAGGCAAATATTTAATGTGGTAACCCAGAATGCATCTCGTTGGCCTACGACCAGCCAAGAGCGGGTAAGTGGAGCCGCTCGCTGCCAGCAATCGTCCTCCTTTTCTTCCCTCAGAAATCCAGTGTCTGTGTCCTGGAAATGGAGAAATCTACCCCAGTTCTTCAAGTGCTTGCACGTGTGCTGAGCTTGAGCCCGTGAATCCTCCATTAATGCACAGCACACACAGCCCTGTTTGGCACATCAAGGTAGAACAAGGTAACATTTTTTCAGATCAGTGGTTCATTTTGCCACAATTGTCTCAAATGATATGGAGCTGTTTATGAATGCGTCCTAAAGCTCTGGCAAATAGTTTTAGCAGGGAAAACGTCTTGTTCTGCTGTTCACTGAATCGAAACGTTTCTTTCGGTAGTTAATCGTAAAAATTTGTTTTCTATCTTAGGAGAGACCCTTTTGAAAATGAAAATCAATACTTTTTTCTTCCTTGGGCCTCATGAAAAGTTTTGTTGGTGCTTATTGCTTTCTTGGTTTATTTTTCTGAGAAAACAACACAGTTTATATTTCATTTAAATGTATTTTGCTCAAATCAAATGTTTTTTTTTATGTACATCTAATGGAGGCATCAGGGTATAGGCAGAACCCTTCCAGTCACGTCTTGATGGTACAGCAATGGCTTTCATCCTTTGCCCCCTGCTCTCTGGAGATGCATTTCCAGAGGAGATGATTTGGGGATATATATGCTTTTCTTTCCATATTTGTGCAAATATCTTCTTGCAGGTGGGAAAAAACACTTGAATCCAAGTCACACTTGGTAAAATGTGTGCTTTTGTGCTTGATTAAGATGCTTATAGTGATAATGGTAAATAGCATTTAATTTGTTTCATTGTGGGAAAGGGAGGGGACACAAATGGTGTTTTACAGGGAGTCCCCCTTTATCTGGGACAAAAATTCTTTAGAAAACACCTAACACATTAACCATGTGTATCAAACTGCTGTTTCATCACCTGGAAAGCAGGGCAGTGCCATGGCTGGGAACCAGCAGACAAACGAATCCCCAACACTCACACTCAAAACCTGTGGCTTGCTTGGTGAATTTTATTACAGGAAATCCAGGCATGCACAGATTCTCAAGGTAATGTGGCAAAGTCATGTAAATGCAAGTGGTGCTGAGCTCAGTCTCTTATTTTCCAGTGGATAAGTGTGCTGGACAATGGATGACTTGAAGTTAGAATATGTTTATGATTTACCTTTTTTTTTTTTTTCAGAAGCCATGCTCTTCTATCATAGGACAGTTTCACTCTACATGTCTAGATTCTGCAAGAATTACATCTGTTTTTTTTTTTATTTTATTTTTACAAAAATGTCTCAGAAAATCTAGTTCTGTCTTCAAATCACTGTATAGACAAGAAGCTATCAGAACCTCTGTTTCACAGGTGAGGAGAACCAGTCTGATAAAGATTAAAATCCCAATTCAAGGAAAAGCAGAAACTTAAGCACATCTTTTAACGCTCCTGTGATTTTGGCATAAACTATTATGAATAGTTTCTCTGGGATGCTGTCAGAGGTGAAAACAGAATATGCTTTGACTTGCAGACAGTACCTCAGCCGCAGCACTGCAGTGTGTGGACACAGGAATTTTTCTCTTTATACTTGCTAAAAAATGTGATGCATGGGATGGTCACACAGGAGGGAGATTTATTTCTGTAGTTGGTTTTTTAATTCAGTGGTTCATATACTATGGTACTGGAGCTCATTTTGGTGTGGAGATCCATGCAGCTCTAAACTTCTCCTTCAGCTTTGTAGATTTTCACAGAAGTGTGTGGTATCTTTTCCTTGGTCAGGTGCCTTGAAAATAAACTGGGAGAAATAAATAGGCACGTTTCTACTGTGGCTGTGATAAGCATATGTATGTATATATATAATGGTATTGTGTGTCTTGCTCTACATAACATTTTTAGGTGTCTGTGCAAGTAGGAGATTTATGAAGTGTGACTCATTTTTCCTTCTCCCCACTGTTCCAGTGGAAGAGCTCAGACTGCGATGAGAAAAACTAGTACACGTTATTAAGAATTCTGATAAAGTAGGCTGAATAAATTTGTTTTCTTTGTGAGCCTTAATCCTGTGTTGTATTGGCTTCTTGGACATGGCTAATTTATTTGGAATTCCATTCTGTTCCCGACAGCATTCCTGATTAGCAGTTTGATCACCCGGAGCAAAGTTACATACCAGCTTTCAACTCTTGTAATCTAGCAGTGTAATTTTTTCAAATGGACTCTTTTCTTTCCTTCTTTGCCCCAGCTCCCCTTCTTTTTGTGTGCAAAGAGACTTTAAAAGTAAGCAGGATAACCTGCTAGTAGAATGAAAAACTTCTTCAAAACACAATGTAGTTTGCTGAATGCCCGGCTTTCATTTTTAAATAGAAAAATGAGGTTTGGAGCTGTGTCAGTGCAGCATGTGAAATGTTTACCTTCCATCACGCACAAAGGATAACAGTTCTTTTCAATAACTGCATTTTAGGGGTGGTGTGATATAATCTTCAAGTTCTTTCCAAGGTCTGTGGTTCGCCAAAGCACATTTCACTTGTGATAAGTTTTAGAAAGTTTAAATTGTTGTTTAGTAAAGTTTTTCACGTCATGGACCTTGTAGGAAAATGGCAGTTGTGTCATTGTTTGCTTCCGTCTAAACTGGCTTATGCTGTCAAAACAAAGGATGCACAGGAACCACAAATTTAATTGTAAACCAGAGGCAGGTTTTGATCTGTTTTTGGTAGGGCACAGGAGGAGCATCATCCGAGTGAAACCAGAGGAAATGGAGCCTGCAGCAGCCCCCCACATCTACCAAAGAAGTGGAGTTACAGACAAGAGGGAAGGGAGTTTTCCATCCTGTGACATTTCTGGAGGTCCCGGTCTGGTTTGTGCACAGTGGGAAGGAAAAAAGGTTTTTAAGTCAAGGGAGACGTGGGAATAGCCCAGAGATAGGTGACCACAGCACTTGTCAAAAGACTCAAACTGTGGTTTTACGCATGAGTGCCTTGGCTGTATAATGTTTGGAGAGTGTCTGTTTTGTACTGATCTTGAATTTAATGGATCTGAAAAGCAACTCTTGACAAATATTTTGTCAAAACTGGAGCACGTTTAGCCAGATTTCTGTGTTTGAAAAACTGACGTTTCGGTTGAAACACTGTTTTGTCGAAAATAATACTAATTAAATTCTCTCCTGAATTTACGTGAACTACTCAGCTGTTCTGAACTTTGTAACACAAATCCTAAATATTTGTTCTAGGCTTTTTCCTTTGAGTCACTAAGTATGTTTGTATTTTTATGTTCGTTCACAATTAGGTGGACATTTTGGATGTTATGAAACTTTTAATTAATTGATATGACTAAGTATCAATGGCATATGTGTGATCTATTCTGCTACTACCGGGTCATGTTCTGATCACATTCCTAGGAAGAAATTCCTGTAATGAAAGGGAACTACTGCTAAGCATTGCCACATCCAGCAGCATATGGAGGTGATCATGGAATGACAACTCCATGACTGCAGAGGTCTCATCAAGTCTGTATATTGAAATACAGATGTCTTCAGGTAATGACTTTTAAGACTGATTTATAAGTTTTTGCTTCGTTTTCTCCTAACCCTTTCCCCTCACTTTCATTATGTTTTTTTTCCCCTGCAATCTGTGCCCTTTCTTTTGCAATTAAATTTCACTTTTGACTGTTGGGCCTTTGAAATGAGCTGGAGTTTCAGAAATACTTCTGGTTTTATGGACACTGAAGTTAGTCTTGAGGGAAGAAATACATAATAAATGTAGTAACTTATTTCTGTCCTTTTTTTTCTTGATCATGGAAGTGGGCATATTCAACTGACTGTGGTGGGATTCTGCTGGGGATTTTCCAGTAGAAAACCAGTGGGGCAGGTGTTGACTTTGCTTTGGCTCAATGCAACATGGAATGATCTTGATATGTGCGTGTTATCACAACTTATTTGAAGCAGGAGTTGGCTTTGAATGTCAGGTTTTGTCCTCTAAAGCTGTGAAGACCTTGATCTGGCTCTTTTGAGCTGGCATTTTGTTTCCAGTGTGATGTGGAATGCTTGTTCAGGAGATTTCACATGTGCAAACTGGAGCAAGGTGCCTTTTTGACTCTGATAACTATAGAAGGCACATGATTCTGAGAGATAAGTGCTGGTCTTGAATTTTTCTATTTCTCTTAACAAAGAACTGAGAACTTCTTGTTAGCCATGCCGACCACTGCAACTCTTTGCTGTTTTCATTTGCAACATATCCTGAGTTTTGAATGCATGGCAAAATGCAGTAAGTCAAATATTCCATTTTTTAATTTTAATTGATTAATGTTTCGGGATATATTTCAAACTGATGGCAACAGGGGGTGTTTTGTGATTGATTATTGTTGTGTTCTCTGCTTTGTCACGTGTAACTTCACTTGATATTTTGAAATTTTAGGAATGTAGTGATATTTTAGGAGACAGACTGCTTTGTAGGGGAACTGGAAAATTAGATGTGAAACCTGTTGCCTTACATTTTAAAGTCAACAAAACTGCATAATACATAATTATTTTTGCCAAACTACCCTTCAATGGGCACTGATTACTAGGATAATTAATTATGTAATAATTTAAAAGCAAAATATGGAATTTTAAAAATAGTTCCAAATTAGAAGATTTTTTAACAAATAGTTGCAACAGAACAGGATAATAATGTTGGTTATGTGATGAAAACATGTGTTAGTAATAAAATATCACCCGTCAGGAATACTGTTCTATCATGCCATTGCTCTCTAGGGAGATGACTAGTTGAGAAGTGATTTTAACAAAATAAACTCTGAACAGAGAGGATGCTTTTATTGGTGATACGACACACATTCTTCAAAAAGGCAAATCATTAAAAAAACGGTGCCAGGAACATCTGTTGTGTGAAAAAGTAAAATTTTGGAAAATCCAAATAGTGATTATCAATATACAGGCTTTGCATAGTGCTTTTCCTTGCTCATTCCCAAAAGACTTTACGAAGAAAGGAAGAACAACTATCCGTGTTAAACCGCGTTTTCCCAAACCAGTTTTCATCTGGCGCGTGGATTCGTCTTGCTTGTGCTGTGCCATGGATTTTCTGTGGGAGGAAATCTGCCCTAAGAAGTGAAATCCAAGCAGGAAAGCGCTGTCCTTCCATGCCCAGCAGCATTCCTCCGTGTGAACAAACGCGGCCCCGCCGGGCAGTGCCAAGCCGACAGCCGTGGCATGCGGAGCCGCGGAGCTGCCGTTCCCTGGCTCTGTGTGAGCCCGTCCCCAGCCTGTCCCGGTGCCAGGCGCCAGGGATGTGCACTTTCTGTTCCGGCTTTGACACCTCTCAGGGAACACAGGGCTGAGAAGCACTTGTGAGCCCCGGGGAGGAGGCACCTGTTCGCTTGGCACCGGGATGAACCCCCCAGTTCATTCCTCACGTGCCCGTAAGTAGCCGCCGGGCTTCTCGCTGCAGACGGATTGGGCTGGAGCTGGTGGCCAGGGCATGGGATGTGCCGGATTACGTGACAGCCCCGCTAGCTCACATGGGAATTGGTAAAATCCTGCTGGTGGTTTCCAGCAATCCAGCAGGATTGCACCAGGGGGAAGGAAGATGGTTGTCACCGAAGATGAACTTTCAGGTGCATCCAGTGACATCCATCCAGGTGGACAGATATTGCTTTTCTGGAAAAAGGCAGATGTCATTGCCTCAACCAATACATTTGCTATTTTATGTTATTAGCTAATTATTATATTATTATTATAATTATTATGTTACTGGCTAATGTTATTAGCTGTTATTTTACAGCTACAGAGTGAGCCAGCTGCCCAAGTGAGTATGTAATGTAGAGCCCCTGGCTGGAGCTGACAGTGGTGGTGTTGTAGCAGGTAGAGCCACTGAACAGTTTGTCAAACTGTTTTTCCTGCTGAAATCCCCTTCAGATGAGATGATGATTTCCTTTCTTCTCATCTGTGTGGATGTCAATCTCTTAAAAAAAAAAACAGGTTAGAGAAACAGCTGTCAGGAATGGCGTAGTTGATCTTGCTTTAGGGCAAGCTGATAGACCTTTTGGGTCCCATTCATCCTTTTTCCTATGACTGTAGGTGGCCCCAGTAACATATATATGTGTAGGTATATTTGTTCTCTCCAGCCTGCTGCATTTTTTCCAGCAATAGTTGAAAGGAGCAGTCCCTTTAAACTCAGCATCTTTTGAGATCTGTAGGTATAAAAAAGACACTCATTGTTCAGTGTACCTCCACAAAGATTCCTTCTTAATCCTGACTGTGTGTACTCATCCCTTGGTTGAGCTTTCCTGTGCAGAGGAATTTGAGTTGATTCACATTCCTTCATAAATGCATGTAGGGTAATACATCAGACTTTCTTTCCCTCTAAGCATTCTGATCAGTTCTGACACTTTCCAACTCCATTAAAAAATCCGTGTGGTAGGTGAGAGAATCCATGAGTGTGAAGAAACTCCTGAAACCCCTCAGAGTATTTGCTTTGCTGTGCCATTTAACTGTTTACAAAGCCCAGGGCTTTGCTTCTGATACACAGTCAATAAAAGGGAACAGGCTATTTTTATTTTTAATTGCAATGTAAATGTATGTGCTGGCCTTGTAGAAGGCAATGTGTTGACTCTCGTGAGGTTACCCCCAATCAAGGACAAATTTGACCAGAAAATGGTACTTTGAGAGAATATTGGCAGTCAATATTTTGGCATGACATTTGGTTTAATGCAGAATTTTTGAAAATCAGGGAAGCAGCCAGGCTATTGCTTGGGCCACATCCAAGTCATTTCACTCACTGCTGATCCTTCCCATTTCTGCCTTCACAGCTCTACTTGTCCAGGCCCAGGCAAGGAATTGCTTAAACATCTATAAAAGTTCCTTGTTTTCTTCTTGAACTGGATCCTGGAGTTGTACTAATTCTGACGAGGCCTTGGCATCTACGAAGACCTCAAGGTATTACTGTACCTATTCCCTGATTTTAGAGGAAAAAGAACGTAGAATTCCCAAAGCTTTACGTCTCTGAATCAGGCTCTCATTACTTTTTTAGATGGAAAGTGCAGTTTCTGGGGAAAGGAGCTTGCTGGTGGAGTAAGTTTGAAAAGATCGTAGCAGTTCCAGTAATTACTCATTTCATCAACCCATCTATATTTAAAGTGAGCTAAACCAAGTTCTTTCCTACAATGTCTCCTTCAAATAATGCTGCTTTACATTTGGAGAGCCAAATAAGGAAATAGAGCATAATCCTACAGGAGTTTCTTTCCCCTTTAGTTCCTACGGCTCAGGGACTTGCTGTAACGAGAGCACTTCTTTCTATGAAAACCTTTTTAACATATTCAACTAAACAAACTATCTCCCAGAGAAAGTAGGAGCAGTTTTTTTGTGTGTGCTTTGCTCTAGCCTTGGCTCTCGAGGACATTTCTGTCGATGCACTAAATGAGCGATGCATTTTGGACAGCTTCTGTGTTCTGATTTGTTTTCTTGTGCTTCTTTTTTTTTTTTTCCCCTTTCCCCCTCCTCTCCCTCCCTTCTTCCCCTTTTCATTTGTCTAGGGGGAAAAAAAAAACAAACCACGCTCCTCCAGTGTTGTTTCCTGCAAAGACCATTCTTAAGAGCTCGTTGGACAGCGCAGGACTCTTGAAGTGATAGCTAATTGGTGAAAGAAAGGCCCTGATTGTCTTGAGGGAGCTGGAAAGTGCTGCGTGTGCTGCTGAAAGGGACTAGGGAGAAGGTGCCTGGTTTCGCTGAGCAGCTGCTGCTGGAGATGTTTGGAGATTACATCAGCATTGGAAAAAAGGGGCAAAAAAAAAAAAAGTCCAACTTCACAGAGACGGAGTTTATGGAGATTTTTTTTTTTCCCCCCTTCCAAAGGTCTTCTGACAATACTGTCATTGTCAATATAAGAGTTGTTAATTCTTTATGAATAGCACATGGGGCCTCTTGACTAAATAGTACGTTACATGTCCCAAATCTGTCAGCTGGACTCTTCTCTCACATGCTAGTGAGATCACTTTGATTGGAATGTTAGAGGAATTGCTGGGCTGGCCGTGCAGAACTGAATACTGCATTATATAATTAGATCTCCCAGAGTATTTTTTTTCACATTACCTCATTATTCTAGCTTAAATATGGAATCGGCCCCTTTGATGATTTTGCTGGTTGTAATTATATTAATACGATTCATTTTGTGGTCCTGCCTTAGTGCTTATATAGATTATAAACTGTCCCGAAGGTTTCCTGACACAAGGAAAGAGGACTGAGAGACTTCAAAAGGCTTCTTCAGGTTTGAATTGACAATGGGGAGAACTGGATAAGGTAAATGGAGCTAGAGCAGCTCTTACCTTGGGATCTGATGAGAGAGAAATGACGTGTCGAGACTGCAACCGAGTGAAGACTCTTCAGAAAGCCACGTGCTGACAGAGGGGAAGGAGTGACAACTGACTGAGTCAAATGACTTCCTCTCCAACTTGGGCATGGATTTATTGTTGGGAACAGACTTGTGGACTTTTGCCAGTTAAATGATCTGGACGAGCTGGAGGGAATCCTGTTGCTGGGCAGTCCAAGAGTGCCAGTGGCCCAGCCTTGGTACACGAGATGTGGTGTGTGGTGCCTGCTGGACAAACTGCTGGTCTGCACAGTCAGGTGTCAGCTGACATGGAGTGAGTTCTGACACCAAAGCCCTACAAGGTACCTTCATTTCCAGCCTTAAATAAGGACCTAACTGGAACACAGAAGGATTTGACTACGTGCCCAAGGCCATAGTGACTTAGGATTTTTTGGTTAACTTACCTTGCAAAAGGAGATAAACTGTTCCAAGCGAACTGTCTCCTTTCAGATGGGTGTTATACTAACCCAAACATCCTATATCTTACTACATACCCAACTCAATTTGACATCTGCTTTTAAGAACTGAATTTTCTACCATAAAAACAGAAAGACTGTATTGCTTTGCCTGAGGCCCAGTCACCTTTCTTTTAAAAAAAAAAAAAAAAAAAGTTCTTTTTTGTTTGATAAATGTCTATGTCATGTAAAAGTGAAGGTTGCCACTTTTATGTGTACTTACTTTTGTATCTCTTGGTAGCTAACATGATGATGTCAGAGTTCAGCTACAGTATTCCCATCCAAATTTTCTGGCCCATTCATGACTCTTACCTTCCTACAGGCTCGTCATTAATAACTGTTAATCAGCCCTTACCATTTTGTGTTTTGAAGCCTCCTAAAACTCAGACATGAGAGCTGGTCTGTGCTTATGCAGAGGAACAGGATAAATGTCAGGTCAATTGATTTCAGCCTCAGATTTTATTTATGGTGGATGACCAATGTACTAAACAGCCTGCAATGCCTGAAATGCATGTCATTGACTTGAAATCCAGCCAGATGACAATAAATTAGATGTAACTAACCCCTTGTCTGTATCTGTGGTTCTTAATTTTAATGATGATTCTGTCCTTTTTTTTATTTCCCAACAGCAAACCAAACCACAGAGGGAAAGTGGAATGTTGTCTATTTGAAGATGTACCTTTGATAATGAGTAACTGGAAGAATAGGCACAGTGATCCATTTTTCTTCTTTCAGTTAACCATCCCTATTCTTTGCTGTTTTGTGCAAAACCAAGCTTGTAGATAAATTGATAGTGCCTTTAAGAAACAAGTCTTCTAATTCTTTATTGCAGAATTACTTAAACAATTATTTAATTAAAGAATAAAAAAAATTTACTGAAGACTTCATTGAGATCTTGTTGCCTACTCAACCCCTTATGCATTCAAAGCAGTTTTATTACCACCTTTTTTAATTTCTGTGGATTCACATAGTTTTTATCCAGTTCTGCAGGACATGGGAAGCCATCCTGTTTATCCTGCATTACAAAATCTGGGCTATCACACTTGCAAGAGTGCAAAATATGAAGGAAATGGAGATCTTCCTCTTTATTCCCATGGGCATTTGCCCTTTCTCTTATCATGGAGATAATAAAAATCTGGGCCCTTTTAAGTGTGGTGTGATTTGAAAGTGTCTATTAGTATTTCCTGGTATAATTTAACCATATTCGTTTTCCTTAAGGAAAATGTAATATAAATATAATATTTTCAATTGCTATTTTTTTCAGATATAAAAGATTGTGCCTGTGCTTACAAATTCCTTTCTGTTTCCTGAAAGGGGTGCAGCGGAAGAAGAAACTTTGGATAATAACTGCTTCATGTCAACTAGTTGTAGTTTATTTAAGATCCAACTTGAAGCCCATACCTTGGTGGAATTTGAATGGGCTTGACTGGAAATCACTTTGGAGTCTTTTAAAATTCATTCCATTTCATTTAGTATTTAAAAGATACTTATGCCCTGCTGATTTTTTGTGTGTTTAGTGATATGTTTAAAAATAAGCATGTGTTTAATGTCAGTTTTGAGCTGTGGACAGTGTGAATGAAGATTGCAGTGTGGAGCCCCCTTTCAAAACATGACACAAAGGTAAGTGTAAAGAAAGAGAAAAATAATAGTGAAATTAAAATCCTTCCTAATGTAAAATAATTATGTTTCATATACATAGATTAAAGTCCACTGCAGATATTCTGTATATATTATGTCTATATTGTATATTATGTTATGTATTTATTAATTATATCACTAACATGCTAAATAGTGGCCAAAATTACCATGTTATCTATAGGGAAGGAACCCCACTCTTTGCTTTAAGTCATTATCAAGAAGAACCTCTAAAACAGGATTAAATTCTGTTCTGATTTATTTTGGAAAATCGAAGTTTTGGGACTCCACCAACAGACAATTCTACAGATTTTTGCCTCCCAGTGTGTTTGATAGTGCAGTACCTTTGTAACCAACCAGCAACACTGACCTGTTGAGGCACTACTAAAAGCAGATGTAATTACAGCAGTTTATAAACCACTTGTAGTGCAGTTAAACTCTCTCATATTCAATTTCCTTTGTGTGAAATTATTTCTTGATGTATTTTTTGCTTATCTAGTAATCCATCCATCTCTCTCTCTTTGTGTATATATATATATATATATATAATACATTATATTTTTACATATAAACCAAATATAAAACTGGATGATGTATGAATGCAGAACTGTTACTGGGATATTGTAACTGTAGGGTTATTATGTTTATAGGATGGTGCTTAGGTTTGGGTTTAGCCTGTGATTTGAACAAAAGTATAAAGTAACTAGTATAAAGTACTAGTTCTCATTTTGTGAGTACTTTGGAAAGGTTATCCCAACTTCCATATCTGAATTTCCTCCCCCAGAAGACCAATGTTACAACAAAAATCTGCCTTAGAGGCGATGCCAGGGTCAATTTATACGTGTTGTGGGGAGTTTATGAACTTTGGCTTTGCACACTTGACAATTCAGATAAATGTGTAGGCATATGTGTACATGCATATTTTCATTCAAGAATGTTAATATTTGAATATCTTGTGTTTACAGCCCTCCCCACTTCAAGCTGCTCAATCTTGTGTAGCTCTGGAAGAAAAAACCACAGGTTTAACTGCTTAGGTAGCTGACGTCACAGAACACCGCTCGTGTTGGGATATGTTGATTTAGGGTGACTGTTTTCATGGTACCAATAAAAACAAATTCAGTCCCAAAATAAATAGCCATTTTCAAGTTCCACAACTGATAATTTTTTTTTTATTTTTTTTTTTAACACGGGCTCAAAATCTTTCTTAGCTGTAAAACCTCAACTGATTGTAAATATCCTGTTTATCCGCGAGTGCAATTTCTGTCCCACGTTGTGTAATGTGCATAAAAGTTGGCATTGTGGACTGCATCGTGGTAGGGAGAACTAATTACAGATAAGCTCATGGTCGTCTGAGCACATAATTATATTTATTGATTAAAATAATTCCACAATTTTGTTTTGCAGTGCCATTACACTGGTATCCGTTTAAACAATTACTGTCAAACCGCGTAAACCCAACTGCAGAAGGACTCCCTTCAATGGATCTGGCGATGCAACAGGTGGCCTAATTACTTTAGGTAGGTCCATTACAGCAAAATTCGGAGTGGAGAAGCTGAAGACACAAGTAGGGCTACAATTCTGTTGGCTCTTGCAGGAGGAATCTGAACAGCTGGGGGGCCCAGTCACCAACTGCTTACACGGAACTGCCGCATCATCAACTGAGGCTGGGGGGGGAATCGTGGAACCAGCACTGCTGCCCAGGCCCATGGCACAGCCCTGGGGAATGGAAAAGTATCGTTGGGGTGTTTCTATCTGGATTTGTGTAGGCATCAGATTGGTGGACAATTAAATGGCAGGAGTCTTGTCTTGGTCAGAGCTGCTCCATAAATGCGGTTGGGTAATGCTTGATTGTCACCAAAGTGGGTAACCTTAGAGGGTGACACTTTGGCTCTCACTGCAGGCAGGGCTTGTAACATCATCTCTTGCTAAGGCTGCCAGGCAACTTCTGGTCCTAAAGGCCTATTTTCAGCTGTTCACAACTTTGTCAAAGTAGCTTTTCAAACTAGATTTTTTCCATGTTGCATTTGGTGTCTGCCTGCGGCTGAGTTCCCTTCAGAAAGTTTCAGCCAGAACAGTTTAATATCTTCCAAGAACAAGATTAGAGAAAAATATTGTTTTACCCATGCTACAAAAATATTGGCAATGTTTGTTTTGTTTTGTTTTGTTTTGGGTTGGTTTTGTTTGGTTTTTTTAATATGTAGTTCTCCTACTCTGGGAGATAATTTTTGCTGGGCCCCACCAGGGAGATGCAACTCCTGTTTCACATGAAGAAAATTATGTAGGTACCTACCACAAATTCAAGGGGTACAAGATCAGATCTGGAAGCAAAGCCTGCATGGAAGGGGGCAAGTACTGGATTGATTGGTGAATGAAGGAGGAGACACACCAGATGGAATTCAGATAGTTTGGACTAGCAGACAGGGCAAAAGTGGAGTCTGAAATACATGACCTAAACAATTCTATAAGACTGAAATCAGGAAGCTAAGACTTATTTAGTGAAGTGATTTGGAATAAGGAAGTCCATGGAACTGTCAAAGGGATAAGAGTTGAATAAAAAGTTTGCTGGATCACTTTCCCTATAAAATATTGATATAAATCCTGGAACTTAAGTTTTATCCTTTTTTTGGCTGTCAACAGATTTCTGTGAAATTCACTGTCAAAAACTCCTCTGTCCTATCTACCTCTCAACCTCCAGCAGAAAATGCTCTGGATCTGTGAACTCCATATTTTTTAATATGATGCAACAAATTGGAGCACTGACATTAAGACAGTAATAGAATTAAGGCTTTATATGCAGTTTTTGCTCTGCTCCCTGAGTATTATGACAGGTTCTTTTGCTCATTTCTTGCACAGGATGAAATTCTCTGGGAAGGAAGCTTGCAGGCATAATGCTTTGAATATTCAGGAGTGGGGAGATGGAGTATGAAAGGCAGAGCTCTAGGAAGACTAAAGTTTTGAGTGCAGTGATAAGGAAATTAATTTTGTCTTCATCTGTCATTGAGTTGTAAGTGAAAACAGAAACATGTATTCTTTACTTTGTATATCTTGTCCTTTTGCTTTGTATCTCTTTACCTTTTGCTTTGTCTCTTTACCTAATTTGCTTATGGGCCGGGCACCCTAAACTGCAGATTGTCAGGTTAACAAATAAACTAGTACCAGTTTAACAAACTACCTGGTACACTGAGAATTAAAATTCTGAGAGTCTGAAGTGAGGCATGTAAAATAACTAGATGCAAATGGAGCAATTCTTCTGTGCTTTGCTCTCTTATTGCAAAATGGGATAATGTAGACACGAAAAAAACGTTAATCAACGTCTGCAAAACACATACACTTTAAAGGACATTCAGGAGGAAATTAATTATTCTTGCCCGGGGGACTAAGTGCTGATAATGAAGAAAACATGAGAACTAATTAAGCAAGCACTGTCCATCCTGTCCGGTGAATGTGGCAGGAATATCTTGGAAAAATAATATACTTGGCAAATGAGTATAACAAAATGGAGGGAATTAACTTTTCCTCCCCGTATGTTGTAGAAGAAAACACTTTTTACTTCTCTCTGAGGTGCTAGTGAGTGGCCAGATATGTGTAGTACCACTTAGTTTCTAAACTCTGTTCACAGTTGACTGTTTCGTAGATGCAGAGCTTCCAGCACTGAGATGTGAGTGCTCTGGGTGTATGCAGAAATTTTAAAAAAATAATGTAGAATGGAGACATCCATAGCATTTTAGGTGTACGTGGGAGATGTTTAGTTTTCCATGTTGGCCTTGGATCCCCGGGCTGCATATCAGTGGTACATGTCTAAATCCTTGTTTCGGAAAGGCCCAGGTGAGTTTGAAACCTGGGTCCTGTATTTAATGAATGCTTGAACTTGGGACTTTCCTATGTGAGCTGAGACCCTTTTTCTGGCTGCCTCCCCTTTGAGAATTG